TCAACTTTTCTCCCTCTCTCTTGAAGTTCACTGTTGCCCCTTGAAGACAGCCCACTGGAGCTAAGGAGAGCCCATGATGGTCGTGAGTATGCATTTGAGATACCATCGGAGTCAAGGTAAGTGGATTTAGCTTCTATGCATCCATAGTTTATGTAAAGAACAAATATTTAGAATGAGTAAGATAATAGAATGAAGAATGTGAAGCATGAATGGGTTAGCATGAGGTTGAAATTTCAGTTTTTGTGCTTTTCAATGCCATGACTGTTTTTACCACATTTATGATCCTTTTTATTTATGGAAACTCATGACATGGCTCATTGGGAGGCTTGCTAACATGAATAAGGTTCCACGCCCAAAGTGTACCTTGGCCATGAAATATTAAGTGTTCTTTAAAAGCATGTTAATTTATGAATAAAAATTTTCAGAACTGTGACTGTCTTGCAACAAAGTGTTTGATGGCTCAATGGCGTCTAAATGGGGCCAAATCAGCCTCAAACGAAAGGCATATATGCCTACTTTAAGTCTACTTTTTATGTCATGATAAAATTTTGCATGGATGACAAGATGTGGCCTAAAATTTTGAGGTATGACACTGCTCAAAGTCGATGTTATTTTCAGCAACTGTGGCCCTCTTTGGGCACTGCATTTGACCTAGGAAATTGTGTCCAAAAACCTTGAAATTACGGCCATTGGAAAGGTATGTGAATGTACTAAAGTTGCATGTTTTGAAGTTTTTGAAACTCCCCACGGATTTTTAATTATGACCTGAAATGCGTAAATACATTGGTGCACACTGTTGCAGGTAAAATTTCCAGCAACTAATGCTTACTTTGTACTGAGCTATTGACCCATCAAACGGTACCCAAATTCCTTCAAATAACAGTTTTTGTAAAGGTCTGTGTATTAGCTCAAAGTTTCATGTTTGAGGCATCCTGAAACTCCCCCTAAATCAAGAGCTACGCCCTCGCAAAGACAGGTATGTCACTGTTACATGTCACTACATCAATTGTATGCCCATACGATACTAAGTTGTCTTGATATATGATAAATGCGAATGCCATATGATAAATCTCATGCGAATGCCATAAAGATATGCGAATGATGCCATATGACTGCATTGTGTGAGGAGAAAGGGGCCACAAGCGTAATATTGATGAAATGAGTTCATAATGAAGCCAAATGCGATTGAAAAGACTTATGCGTAAATGCCCTGTAAATGCTTATGAAATAAATATCTTTTGCTAAATGCTATGATGTTATGATGAAATATTATTCATTTGTATGAAGCATTGACTGATGAGAATGTGATTCATTCGTAACGAGGCATTGAATGGCCACTGCTTATATTGATATTGGCCATTACGCAGTGGGACACTCATCCGTAGTGGATACTATTATGATATTGTGATGAATGGCCACTGCTTATATTGATATTGGCCACTACGTGGCGGGACACTCACCAGTAGTGGATACTGTTATGATAATGTGATAAATGGCTACTACTTATATTGGTATTGGCCACTACACGGTAGGACACTCACCGATAGTGGATATTGTTATGATACTATGATGAATGGCCACTTCTTATATTGATATTGGCCACTACTCGGTGGGACACTCACCGGTAGTAGATACCGTGATGAATGGCCACTGCTTATATTGATATTGGCCACTACGCGATGGCACACTCACCGATAGTTGATACTGCTATGATATTGCCTGCTACTCGATGAGACACTCATCGGTAGTAAGGAAAGTGATGTTGGCATATCCCCTAACCTGTATAATGATAGGAACGGGTTGAGGGAGAGGATAGATGGTCGCACCCTAGATTCATGAAATGAAATGAAATGATTGATGCCTTGCAAGGTAAAGGCCTATCGAACCCTCAATGCACACTGGGGACTGTGTGAGTGTGTTGAGGGTATTATGAAGTGGATTAACCCACTTGTCATTACCCTCCCTCATGTATGATGGAGCTTATATTGATATTGGCCACTACGCGCCGGGACACTCACCCGTAGTGGAGACTATTATGATGTTGTGATGAATGACCACTGCTTATATTGATATTGGCCACTACGTAGTGGGACACTCACCGGTAGTGGATACTGTTATGATAATGTGATGAATGACCACTACTTATATTGGTATTGGCCACTATGCGGTGGGACACTCATTGGTAGTAGATACAGTTATGATACTATGAGGAATGGCCACTACTTATATTGATATTGGCCACTACACAGTGGGACAGTCACCGTTAGTAGATACTGTTATAATACTGTGACGAATGGCCACTGCTTATATTGATATTGGTCACTACGCGGTGGGACAATCATCGGTAGTGGATACTATTATGATATTGCATGCTACGCGATGGGACACTCATCATAAGTAAGGAAAGTGATGTCGGCATATCCCCTAACCTGTATAATGATAGGAAAGGGTGGAGGGAGAGGATAGAGGGTCGCACCCTAGATTCATGAAATGATTGATGCCCTGCAAGGTAAGGGCCTATCGAACCCCCAATGCCCGCTGGAGACTGTGTGAGTGTGTTGAGGGTATTACGAAGTGGATTAACCCACTTGTCATTGCCCTCCCTCTTGTATGATGGTGGAGGTCTTAAGCAATGGGATTGGCTTAACCAGATGGATAGGGCGTCTACTGCAAGAGTAGGTAATTTAGGGAGGGTATGGGTAAGAATTGAATTTCTGTAAAAGGAATGCTTGGTATTGCAATGATTGAATAATTAATGAATTCACTGATCAAATGCTTGTGATCTCACTGATTTAAATGATAACTGTCGTTTAAATGAAATGTTCACACTCGATGTCTTAACTTGATATTCATATATGTCAAACTATGACTTCATATTGATGGATTGAACTATTATCACACATAGATAGAATCACGAATCATGATAATGCATAACACTAGACCTGCTTAATAGGCGGTATAGCTCTTTCCATTATTTCTCCTCTCCTTGTAGATTGATAGCGACAGGTTCAGGGCTTGGAGTTCGTGTCTTACGGTGGGAAGTCGAAGCTAGATTTCTCAAAGAATGTGCTTTAATTTTGTTTGTGCATCTGGGCTGTTAGCCTTAGGTTTTTATTCTTTGTGGATATGTGTAATTTTGGGCCTAGATGCCCTGAACTAAATGTAATATTTTTGAAGAATTTTATATAAAAGATTTTTGGTATTGGGAATTTCTTTGCTCTTCTGCTAGTTAAGTTTTGGCTTTAGTTCTTTTCCATGATTTGCTCAATTACCGAAAATAGAGGCGTAAGTTTTGGCTTTAGTTCTTTTCCATGATTTGCTCAATTACCGAAAATAAAGGTGTGGAGTCCACTCCTTCCTGAGTGACAAACGTTATATTGGATCACAGAACCGCGTTCGATCACCCGTCGTCGCGTTAGATACAGTGATCAGGGGCGGGATCGTGCCACTAAACTACCCGCCCTTACTTTCACCTACGCTACTCTCTCCTCTTTCCCACAAAAAAGTGGTCCAACGTATTCTTTTGGCAATCCGACATTGTAATGTCTATCCGGTAAATAACATTGGCGGTCCGACAGTACAAGTGGCAATCTGACACTAACGAAGAACGATCCGACAATAGACCCATGCGGTCCGGTACTGCAAAAGAGCGGTCCGAAAATAGGCCCATGCAGTCCGACAATGTCAAAGAGTGGTTTAGCAGCCCTTGTAAGCCCACGTGAATGTCTGGCCATAATTAAATTTTTATGTACAAAAAAAAGGTATTTTCATAAAAAAACTAGTACTTCTTTTTACTTAGAGGGTATTTGTATTTTAAAAAAAAAAAATGAAAAAGAGTTTGATTGGGGGTAATTTGCTTAAGTCTAGTCTTGGGGGTTATTTATAATATTTCAAATAGTACCATACGAAAGAGAACTAAGTTCATATGAAATATAACATTATTACCAAACATAAGAAAAAAAGCATATGAAATCTAATTCTAAGACATCAATTTGCTAAAAAATTAATTAAATAAAAAATCCTATTTCAGACAAACCGTGAAACCGTGACCTAATATAAGTTGAATCTCTCTTTTGCTCTTGATGAGGACCTAAGTCTCTCTTTTGCTCTTTTCATAAAGGCTCTCTAGGTTTACAAGGACCTAATATAAGTTGAATCTCTATTTTGCTCTTTATAAGGGCTCTCTGGGTTTACAAGAAAAAAAAGTCACAGGGTTACCCCGTTCTAACTCTATCTATTCTTTTGAGAAATATAATTGTTTTGATATTTTATTTTTGATCTATTCTTTTGAGATATACAATTGTTTTGATATTTTATTTTTTGAAAAATATAGTGCTTGCATTCTTTAAACACTTTTCTCAAGGATATTTAACAATGAAATTAAATTAATGAAAAAACAAAGTTGATATTAATAGTGAAATTAAGTTAATGAAAACACAAAGTTATAGGGAAAAAGTTTTTTTCTAAAAGCTTTTTTTAGATTAAGATAAAACTCAGATTTATCCTGCTTATATTGAAAAAAGAAACATTTTTTTTTAAATCTTTTGAAAAACCCGGAGTTTTGAATAGATTTAAAAAATTGTGTTTTAAGCGAGAGTAATGATCCTATGAAACCCTCTCACACCCATGTGTATATAAAAACTCAAAAGATCACCATTAAATTCGTCACAAATCTCTAAAAAAATTATCACATAAATATGAAATTGGACTTAAATATCTATACCATATTTAATGATGAGAAAAGTTATCACGAGTGTGAAATTTGACTTTTCTAAAGATCTATATCAAGTTTAATAATGAACCTTTAAAGTCCTACACGCATGTTGTGGGAGGATCTCATAAGTCCATTATTCTTTAAACAAAGTCTCGATAACTATAATCTAAACTATCCTTAACAAAACCTCAAAAATTATGTAATAATTGAGATTTAATGCCGCATCCACCACTGCTGCCCATTGCTATCGATATGAAAGATCTCCGACCAACTCAGCCAGCAAAAAGGAAAAATCAAAATACTCAGAAACCAAACATAACATAAGGAGTACTACTTACATCACCATCATTGATAAGTTAATAACCCAATCATCAAAGAGAACGAAACATAAATGAGATAATTTAGTACCGTCATATTGTAGCGGTAATGCAATCCTAATCCTATATACTAAATCCCCAACAAGCCATGAAAAGAGTAATTACAGAAGGATTTCAACCCCCACCATCCATCAAGCCAACCCAGCATCTATAAACAAAGGATGGGGCGGGTCCAGCATGCAGAATGAGAGGAAGAATTAAATCTACCCAATAAGAATTATTGCTCCTTTTGTGATGCTCAAGCACTGCTCTTGCCCTGAGAAGAACCACCTAAGGCCCAGTATGGCTTGGCAGGGGTGCGCTTCAGAGCCTTCACTCCAAAAGGGCTGTTCTTGCTCTGTAACCAAACAAGACAAATTAAGCGAAGCACATATTGATAGAATCAAAGAGCAAGAAATAAATGTTTCAACAATCCATCCAATTAAGAGACCGTGATGACTTGAACAGTGTGACAAATAAATAAATAGAAACAAAGGAAACAAATAATTTACTAGATGGAAAATAATCTATCTGTTGCATAGACTGGACTTTACTCCCTTGAATGCATGGCTAGAAGGACTTAAATATCCAAATAGACAAATAGATCGATAGATAGAACCAAGCAAACACAATCAAGTTGAATTATATCGCATCCATCTAGCCTTCAGCTCAAACACAACAACAGACGAATTGATTGATGGAGAGAACCAGATGACAAGTGATATTGATGAAAAACTCTGGTGACTCTGGCATGGAATTGCTCAAGCTCCTTCATGTGGTTCTGAATCGGGTACCCTTTGCAAAACCCCACCAGTTCACTATGCCGGTTCACTATAGCGATCCATCCAATTTATGGTCAGACTTGGATGAGTTTCTGAGACCTGATCCACGCAGCCAGGTTCTACCAGTCCAAAATTTTTCTAGTTGGCAGGACAAAAATGTTAAAGTTCTAACCAACGGAAGGTATTTCAGCTCAAATTTCGACCTTTATTCTTGCCTAATCCATAAATAAATATTTTTGAAAGATCTACTGATCTTTATGGGATATTAAAGGAGGATTCAATTGCCAAATTTTGGGCTGGAATGAGCTTTCAGCAAGCCTCAGATATCCTTGATTTGGACCTAATAAAAATAATCTTTGGTGGTTTGATTTTGGAGATTAATCAAGATTGATATATGGAGAATACTGATTCTGTGGATTTGAAAGGATACAATTTTCGAATTTTGGGTCTGCAAGAACTTTCAGAAGCCTCTGACCTTGTGGAATCAAAGCCCAATGCAAAACGTCCTCGGGGTTTGTCTTGGAGACTCGTAGGGTAGATCTACCATAGATACTTGCTTTGACATCGATTGATTCTAGTAAAAAATTTGATGTTTTGTAAATCACATGGTTTTTATTGTAATCATATAAATACTTTTTATTTCTTCAAAAAACAATAGGATGTACATCAATCTAAGCTTAATTTCAACAACATCAAGATTCTATTTGCAGATTAATAGAACAATAATTTTTCCTTTGATTTTGAACTCTATAAAAAATAAGTATAAGTTTTCTCTCTTTCATCAATATACATAATAATTTTGATTTACTAATATTACTTATTTTCATGCAATTTTTTAACTGATTTTGTACAATTTGTAATGGTGTTTAAGGCCAACTCAGCCAGACTCACCAAGCACTTGGAAGAATCAGTGAGCAGACTCGACCTGGACATAGCTGAGACCAGAGCCAATTCTGGCATTCAAAATGCTAGATTATACCAAACAAAAATGCAACTAAAAGATGAACCATAATCCACCATATATATCTCAGGTGGCTAAACTCACTTGAATATATAGGTAAATAGATAGAACAGAGTAAACACAATAAAAAAAGCCCTATAATTTCCTACCTCGCAGACAAGACTGAACTGAATAGAAAGACAGAAAACAGATATCAACAGAGCAAATACAGTAAATTGAACGGATTGGTAAATAGATAACAGAGATACCAATAATAATACATAGCAAACCTAGAGAGAGAGCGAGGCTTGTGAAGTAGGAAGATGAACACTGAGTGTTAAATTCAATTCCAACATAACGTAAGAGAGTTTGAGTGGGAATGTACCGCAAGGCAGGTGCCAGCATTGAGGTTGCAGATGGGATAGTCATGGGGGCAGCAACTGTAGTGGTCGGCGCAGCATGTGGCTGCCTCCAGTGGGCAACAACCCCATGAGAAACAGTACGGACCGTACTCATAAACACAGCAGCAGGTGTTGCTCTCTGGACAAGTGTAGTAGTTGTCACACATCGTGGGCGGCTTCACTGGAGATGGGGGAGATGGCCCAGGGTTGGGGGGGTTATCGCCCTTCTTGATGGGGTATGATGCTTCCATGGCAATCCCACACTTCCCGGTCTTGCTCTTCGCATTCCTTTCAAGCTTTATGTATCCCGACTCACCCCAGCTGCCACCCCATGAGTTCTTCACAATCCAATAATGCACACCTTTCTCTGTTCCATAACCCACCGCTGTGACTCCATGATCAAGATCAGTGCCACAACTTCCAGTGAATACACCCTGCCAAATTTGTAAAAAGAAAATGGGCAGATTAAATTTTATTTTGAACTCACAACTAACAATATTAAATATACATACTCATGGAAGTAGTAGTTTCATATTTTATAAGTAGTTGGCACCTAGCAATGATATGGATTTGGTATGCATGCATGGATGGATCTATAAGACTCACAGATTGATAAAGCTGGAAATCCCTGCCTGCTGCTTCAATGGCAACACTAACAGGCTGGTGAGCAACAGCCTTTTGTAGAGCCTTCTCATCATTCTCGGGAACATCCTCATACCCATCTATGGTCACAACACGTGCATTTTTCTGCAATAACCATCCATCATCAGCAGTGCATGTAATAATAACAAGAACTTGCTCGTCAATAAAAAGATTTCCCATTACTTAAAGAGAATTCCGAAGAAACGGGAAAAGATGAATGATATAAACCCTGTATTGATCACAGACTGCATCTCTGGCCTTGTAAGGATAATCTTCCTCGGTGTCAATGCCACCATTATCTATGATGAATTGGAAGGCATAATCCATGAGGCCCCCATTGCATCCATCATTGTAAGAAGTATCACAATCCACAAGCTCCTGCTCCGAGAGGGATATCAGATCATTGGTCACAATCTGGTTTATCCCTTCCACAGCAGCAACAGTTGAGAACGCCCAGCAGCTCCCTGTTAGGGATCGAGTCAAAGAGTAGCATACATGTTATATACTTTAATTAGGTATCCTTCAAGAATCACATGCACACCTTCCAATCAATGATTGTATAATGACAAAATACAAAGATGCCCCATAATTCTACTATTTAGAGGTATTATGTGAAAAAATTAAAAACTTTGCAATCACTACTATGTGGGTAAAACTATATTTGGTAGGTTAGGCATGATAATTCCAAAGACCTCCATCATTTGTAATTGAGAACGAAGGGTGCAAGCTATACACCAAGGGGTCCATGGCATATACAAGTGGCGCATGGTACATGCCATACAACAGGGGCCAGGGGTGTATGGTATAGTTTCCCTTTAACTGTAAAAGATGAGAGAGTTTTTCAAGAGATCCATGAAGATAAGATAAAGACCCATACATTGTTAAGAGAGTTTAAATTCCCGTAGAAGGAAAGAGCCCATGTTTTTCAGTAAGTCCAGAAAGGAGAGAGTATTTGATTTCACGCAATGCAATCAATGGAAGATCATCCATCAGAGAAGATCCCTTGCACCAGGGATCAGGATCACTACCAACAGAGTCAAAATTAAGGAACAAGAAAGAAAGAAAGAGTGTCCGCAGTAAGTCCAGAGCATCAAAATTAACGAACAATAAAGAAAGAAAGAGTGTCTGCAGCAAGTCCAGAAAAAACAGGAGAAGAATCTGATTTGACACAAACAAAAATATCCCTCAAGAGAAGATCCCTTTCGAATTTAACCCAAAAAATATCCCTTTTGAAAGACATCGGAATCAACAGAATCCTTAGGGTATATTTACTTTTGTAGGAAATCTCCCTCTGCCACTGCTTTCCATGTTTGTTTCATTGGATAGAGGAGGCGTGCACCAATGGTGCATGCCTCTATACAGAAAGAGAGGGGTAAAGAGAGGTGTATCATGGAGAGATTTCCAGCGAATCAAAGTACCCTTGAGGCAAATCAATTGAACAATTAACAAATTAATGTATAAGTGACACATACTAGAACAAAAGGAAATTATCTGCAATATTCCTGTAGTTTTTGGAATTACAAAAAGACTAAATTCTTTCTTTTTGTGATTTAGGTAGGTACCACTGCTACAGGCATGGCTAGATCTAAAAGATCCATTGCAGTTGACGCTGCTGTGCACCGAACAAGTCTGTAGGGGACTTACATAAATTACAAAATAAAATATTGTATTTTTATAATTTTTAATATTAGAAGGATATTTTCGTTAATTTCCCAAGAACACATTTTATGAAAATATTAAATAAAAAAAAAAGCAAAAACCCACTACGAGGTGACATAAAAAGAACAAGGTACACAAACTAGAAATATAAATAGGAAAAAGTTTAAACTCTAGTATAAAAGAGCGGTCCAAAGTTAGAAAACATTCTATTGATCAATCTTGATCTCCAAGTTCACCTTGTGACAAAACTTTCAAGTCATTATAAACTTGATCAATTGCATGATGAGTACTGTTTTACCCACTCCAGCTCCCCCGAATTGCCCGATTTTTCCTCCACGACGATAAGGAGCTAAAAGATCCACCACTTTAATGCCTATTTCAAAGATGATAATTTGGTATCTAACTGTATAAAGGCAGGCGCAGATCTATGAATAGGAGATGTTATGCGAGTATCTACATGACCTAAATTATCAATTGGTTCTCCAAGAAAGTTAAAATTCGTCCGAGAGTAGCTTCGCCAACCAGAACACTTCAAGGAGCTCCCGTGTCAATCACTTTCCATTCCTCTCATTAGACCATATGTAGCACTCATAGCTACCGTTCTAACTCGATTATTTCCTAATAATTGTTCTACCTACATCTTCGGACAAAAATTAGTGGCAGGCCTTTACAAGGTGAGCACCTTATAAAAAGGTCACCCTAAAAATAAGAGCAAAAATGTCAAATGAACTAAAACGTCAAATAAACTGCTAGAGAAAAATAAAAAAAAAGCCGAAAAAAAAAAAAATTGAGTAGTACAAAATTCCATATTAACAACAGCAAAAAGAACAATGCGAAAAGAAAAAGACAAATAAAAATAAAAAATAGAAAAACTTAAGAGGTGATTTAAAAAAAATAAGTGAAGATGAGCAAAAATGCCAAACAAAAAATTAATAATAATAAGTGAAGATTGGGAAAATGCAAATAACAAAGGACAAGAAAATAAAAAGAGCTGCGGAGAATCAGTCCACTACTAACTTTTCCCACTAACCGTGAACAACAGTCAATTCAGAACCAACCAATTGTCGACCAAAACTAGCAAATCACCCATGGAGACATTGTGACCAAATACGGTGCACATCCAACTAAACATAACGGACGGAGCGGTTCACATCTAACCATGCGTTTCGTTATGCATAAATGGCCACACCTTTACCGGGGAGTTCAGCCAATCGTGTATCATGCGCGGTTCAGTGTGTGCACGGCCATGATTCGACAGCTCGAAGAGCGAGAAGAAAACTTCACTGAATCTCGGCCGTCTATTAGAGGAAAAAAAAGCAGCTCTCTTAAGCGAGACGAACAGGCTAAAACGAAACATAAGAGACCAAAAAGAATTGCGAGCGTCCATAAAAAAAATAATTAAATAAACAAAATACAAAAAAAAAAAAACAGAAGCAGTTTCTTAAGAGAAAAAAAGGCTCAACATAAAATAAAAGACCAAAAAAGATATTGCACAGATCTAGAATCCCCGTTCTGCGATTCCTGTGTTTTTGGTCTTTGATTGAAAAGCAGAATAAGAGAAAACATACCGCAGTCTCCCTGGTCTTTGACAGGAGCAACAGCGCCCTTCTCTCTCCAGTCCACGCTCTCCGGCAGCTCCTCCCCGACACCCACAGCATAGCGATGACCAGCGCTCTTATCCCTGAGTCCACGCCCTGCTGCATCTTTGTTGCGCACACCCAGATACCGGGCCCTGTATTCCTCGTTGGTCAGATCAGCAAACTTGTTCAACCCAAGCTTATATGTCGAGTTCCCGTTCGCATTATGTTGGTCGATATGGGCCAAATTATCCTTGAATATCTCAAACCTCCTATCCTTCTCGTCCAGTCCATTATATGCCTTTCTGTTTCTTCTCAGCCAAAGCTCATACATAGCCCTCACGTCTTTCTCCTCCCTGCTCCTACTCCCCAATCTCAGAATGGATGATCCCTCTGTTGTTGCAGAGGCCACGAAGAAAGACATCGCCAAGAGGGCGAAAACTCCAACCCACAGCCCAAAGCCCGACGCCATGGTAACAACAGATGTGATCCCAGGAAAGGCCCTTCTTCCGTTCTTCCTGTTAAAGAAGGAAGAGATTAGGGGAAGAAATCGATAAAAAGCAAACAAACTATTTAGGAAACAAAAGGAAGAGACGGTTATCAATGAGTGCCAATTTTTGTGGCCTCACCGAATGATAGAAAACAAAAGAGGAGCAGAGAGCCTCCCTCTCCTTGTGAGTGATTCCTTCCTTTTCTCCCTCCCCTTATCTGCAGAGAAAGGAGTTTGATTGTGCTTAGGAACATGGGAGAGAAGCAGCTTAAAAAGGGCAAGACAGAGAGGGAGGGGCAAGCGCCGACCCAACCCAAGTATTAACCGCGGTTAACTCCCTTCGCACATGGGTTACGCCTATCGACCACCGCCGATACTCATTCATCGCCTCCTTATTTTTTTCTCTGCCCTAGATTTTTTTGTTTTTTAAAGAAGGATTCTCACCTCCTCTTTTAATGAAATGACTAACTGATCATATAATTTCAGTGTTATCCTCGGTGTACTACGGATAATTAGTGTCGAAACAATGTTTGTGGGTGAATCATCGACCCAAGGAGGCATATAAAATATGGAAATAATACTAGTAAAAATATTTTCCTATAGGGAAATAATACTAGTAAAATTATTTTCCAATAGGGATTTATGCGGAAGGTATGAAAGGAGTATTTTTTAGGAGAGACTGGCCCAATAATACCACCTTTCAACGTCCAAAAAGGCTTGTTACATTGGATCCAATTAAGGGGGACAACAGGATGGCCCTGGCCTGCCTTGTCCCCCATGGCAAGGGGTCGTGCCGAAAATAAATAAAGAAAAAAAAAGAAAAAAAAAGATTAGAGCGGGCCAACGCTAACCCTAACCCAGCCCTTGGGCCACAATTTGTGGCCTAGACCCATACTTTTTTACGGTCGAGTTGAGGCACCCAACCCATTGTCAGCCCTAGATTCGAGAATAGCAGAACCTCAAAATTATTGACCTAACTCATCCATCTTGATTCGAGAATAGCACAACCTCAAAATTATTGGCCTAACTCATCCATTTTAATATAGCAACTCAAAATTATTGGCCTAGCTCATCCATCTTAATATAGCATGTGTCTGGGATGCAATTCCAGACGTGTCTGGAATGCAATTCTACATGCGTTTAGGATGCAATTTCATACATGTATATGTGATGCATGTTTGGGATGCAATTCCACATATGAGTCCCAGAAGAAAGGTTGCGGTCCCACCAAACTTGAATTAGATGGTGCAAAACTATGGGGTGGTAATGGACTCGGGCCTGACAGATAGATCCGACCAAGGTTCGGGTATGGGTCCAAAAATTGGACTCGGTGGGTCGGGCTCAGGTCCGGGTCCAAGTTCCACAATTTATTTTTGAATTATAATTTATAAAATATATTTAAAAGAGTAATGATCATATGAAATCTTTTCATATCCATGTGTGTAGGATTCCAAAGGATTACCATTAAATTTTATACATATCTCTAAAAAAGTGAAGTCACACATCTATGTGATAACTTTTTTAGAATCTGTGTCAAATTTAATAATAATCCTTTGGGGTGCTACACACATGGGTATGGAGAGGATCTCATATGATCATTACTCTATTTAAAAATTAAGAAGTAATCCTATAGGACCTTCTCCCACCCATATGTGTAGGATCTCAAAGGATCACCATAAAATTTGGTACGGATCTATATAAAAGTCAAATCCCAAACCCACGTGATAACTTTTTTAGAGATTTATGTCAACTTTAATGATGATCCATTGAGATCCTACATACGGGTGGAAGAGGGTCCTATAGGATCATTACTCTAAAAAATATATAAATTTTTATTTTAGGTCGGGAATATGTCCCAAGTTATGTTTTGGTATCCAAGTTTGGATCCTGGGTTGATGACTGCGTCCGATCGAACGCGACCTATTTCCACCCCTATTAAATACGTGTCAAAATTATTTTTTGCTTTCAAAATTATTTTTTATTCATGTTCACTATGGTGGAGGTTCTTAACTTCGAAACTTTTGATCTAAAATCCATCTCTAAATTAAATTTTGGAGAGAGGACTCGTGTAAATAAGTGTGTCGGGGAGCTCACCAAAGTTGAGAGTACCGGGGGAAGGAATAGGGGTGATTAGGTCATTTTGCATCCAAGTGAGTACGATGACGCAGCAGCTAATCTCGGAGGCCAGCGATTGGGCGAGGTTCTCGGTGGTGGGTCGCGTGGTCCCCAAATTTTATCAAAAGTCAAAAGTGATTCGTGCATGACCACGCCTCTGCATTCGCTTGGGGCCATACGTGTTCCGATCAGATTGGATATTAAAAGGGGAGGCAATTCTAATGTATGCGGTACTTGAGCACACAGGGCTGTAAATTCTGATACTTTTGTTGTTTTATATTCATGGCCACATGCGTCCTTATATCATCCACGATACCCTTTTCCTCTTTCATAACCAACCAAATACCAAAAGATTCCCCTGTATTCGTCGTTAAAATGGAGTGGAATGGAAAGGAAACCAAAAGAAAAGACCAAGGCCAACCGTTCGATCCACCATCGCAAATTTCATGCGCATTCAATCTTATGGCACTAAATATGCATGGCGTGTTTATCAAGCCCTAGAGAAGAGAAAAAAATTCGCCTGAAGTGAGGGGATCGCCTAGTTTCCCATATACAAATATTGATTAATTAATATAAATGTTGACGGAGACATTCATAAAATTGATGGGACGTTTAAGTAGGAGGATAGGCCAAATATAAATATTATTTTAGGATTGTATACTTCTGTGGCAAGAAGTTGCAATTATTGAAGTGTATTACAGTATTTGAAGAATTTTTTTTTAAAATGTGTTATGATTTAAAAACACATCCGTAACTATTCAATTCAATATCCTCTTTATATAAAAGATATGGTGCAGTTCGCATATGGATGCATCCGTAGCAATAGAGGTAAGGTACACCTTTAAATTTTATAATGGTATATAATTTTGATATAAAATGTTTTTAAGATTATCTCAAAATCTATTTTTATATCTAATTATAAAATTTTAAATTTCAAAAATAGTTAAAATCAAGTAGATATATAAATATATGAAAATCTTGAAATGGACTGTGTAGATAATATATTATAAAATGCACCATTTTTTAGACTTAAAATCTTTTTATTTTTCATGGTCATACATATCGATATCGAGATGATCAATCAAAGGGTTTTTCAACATTAAAACTATGTTTTTTGATGGATTTTTTATATACATATGTAGTTCTCCTGCATAAGGTTGCATCTTTATATTAACTTTTTCTAAAAGATATTAGGGAAAAAGTTTATATAGAGCAGAGGTTCTAAACAATCAAATTTGAACCTACCTCAAAAATTTCACTAGAAGAGGTTGTTTTGATGCCCAAATATCCTCAAATTGATCATCTCAACATCAAGACGCACGGATATGAAAAAAAAATAGATTTCAACTTTTGAAAATAATATATTTTGTAATGCATTTTTTTACCATCAATTTTCAAGATTTTCAAGTTTCTATAGATCTATCGATCGATACTATTTTTTAAGTTTTAAACTTTATAAATAAAGATGAAAATATATTTTAAGGCTATCAAAAGATTTCTAGTATTGAAACCACATTTCTCAATACTATTTAACGGTGGGCTCTAATTTGATTGTTTAGAGACTATAAACCGCACCCAAAAATAAATGGTGTCATGTTATATATTTTCTTCTTTTCTTTTTTTATAGTCGTGAAGAAAAAACACGTGTATCAGTTCTTAGTAATTTATGGAGACAAATCACTTGTTTCCCTTCTTAATAATTTATGGAGCACGTGTATCCCTTAATAATTTATGGAAGGAAAATTTATATTGCAACTTTATATTATTGAAGTAAGGTCCACCTCAAAAATTCTATAGAAGAGATTTTTTCGACATTGGAAAGCGCTTTCATTGATCATCTTAACCTCGAGATTTATGACTATCTATTTTCAAGATTTTCATATGTTTATAGATCATCACAATCTTTATCATTTTTTAAATTTTAAATTCCATAACTAAGGATAAAAACTATTTTGAAGCCATTATAAAGTTTCCACCCCTTAAACTATATCTCTAAGTAAAATTTGCACGTCCACCTTACTTCTACAATATAAGGAAGGTACTTTTAACTCTTTTTAGTTAAAACTTAAAAGAAAGAAGAAGTTTAATATTCTTAACTTTTTATTTTTTGAATTATAATTCGTATTTTTTAATAAATTTATTATTAAAATATAATTTAAAGATGCCTCTTTTAACCTATTTATGAGGTTTAAGAGTGATCTACGAGCTTTCATTTGATTTGAAATACTATTTATAATTAAAATTACATTAATAACTATATATGTCTTTTTCCCAAATCTTTATTACAATCCATCCGGCATCTAAACACTTCTTAATCCATTACAAATACATTTTGACTTTACATTCATTATTTTCCAACAATGAAAGCAAAATAAACAAATCCATCTAAATCGAGCTCAACAAGCATGTTTTCGAGGTTCAAAATTTATCTTTCGTGATGCATGACATATATTAGAAATATCTAAGGGCTGTTTGGATAGGAGGAAATTAGGAACCTTAGATATTTGAAATTCAAGAAAATCTATGGGTTTTCAATACCACCGATTTTTATCAATTCTTCAAATCTCATGTTTAGATAAACTATACAAAATTTATGGATTCCTTACAATCACTTTCATGTCCATTGTTTGGGAACAAAACTTGATACAACTTCTCTTTCTAAAATTTGTATATACTTTCTCTCACTAAGACTCAAAATTTAGGATAGTATATCTATAAAATTTTTAAGATAATTTCTCTCTCTAAATTTTGATATGGTCTGTCCCTCTAAAATTTAATATATTTTCTATCCAAAATTTAAAATTTGAAATTGTCTGTCTAAAAATTTTGAGATAATTTCTCTCTCTAAAATTTTGAAGTGTTTTACTCTCTCTAAAATTTAATATACTTTCTCTTTCTAAAATTTTAAGATAACCTCTTTCTAAAACTTAAAACTTGAGATAATTCCCCTATTCAATAATTTTGAGATAGTTTCTCCCTCGAAACAAATGAGTAGTTTTCTCTTTAAAATATGATATAATTTTTCTCTCAAATTTTAAGATATTTTCTCTTTCTAAAAGCTAAAATTTGATAAAATTTCTCTCTAAAAATTTTACGATACTTTCTTTTTCTAAAAAATTTATGTACTTTCTCTCTCTAAAATTTGATCTAGTGACTTTCTTAAATTTTAAGATGCTTTTTCTCTCTAAAACTTCTAGTTTGAAATAGTT